ATATGAAACTAAACTATATGACCCAAGATTTATCGCAAAGAAATACAGTTGTGTCGTTTCAGCATACAAAATCTCGGCTGGAACGGCTGCAAAAGTTGGTCAATTTCCGTGGGCTGTTGCGCTAACAACCATGAGTCGGGAGGAGTATAACTATTGTGGCGGAACAATCATTTCAGCACGACACATTCTCACTGCTGCACACTGTATTATGGACTATGAAAGCGATCGCCTGCCTTGCACGTCCGTTTTTTGTGATTTTCTGGAAAACTAGCACTGCCGTAAGTTGTATGGATGCATCTCAGTAACAAGCATGAACAAAAGTTCGAATGCATGTGCAATCAACAGTTCATGAAAGGTTATGAATAGTGTTCCCTCCAGAGATTATGAATTTCTGGCTTGTACCAGCGATTTTTGAAAAAATTAGCTTTCTTATTGAACGACTGAAAATGCAGCGGTCCCTCCCTGAAAAATAAATAAACGATACTACGGCCGCCCAGCCAGTCATTATGGGTATCTGATGTTACTAGAATGCTCCGTAACATCGAACAGCGCTATGTCAGGTCCTTCAGTTCTGGGTTAGCATAGAAAATATACAAAATGAAAGCTGAGATAGCGAGCCTGCCATAAATATTCAATGGGGCTGAGACTATCTGTACTATTTGTCGGTAGATATTGGACAGAAGGTGCTAGGTGTCTCATCAGGTTTCAAAGAGAGCAAAGTTAGCATCGAAGTGTTGGTGCTCAGAATGCACCAAGAGTGTTTCGAAATGACTAAAGTCTTGCCAGGTGCTTTTGTCGGAAGAATTTTTGAGCTGCTATTACCTTGATTAGTTAGTACAGACCTAAGAATCGCCAGCAGATTGACCATCAAAAAAACGGTGCAGCATTGGCGTAGGCGAACCCAGGGACACTGGCACAGCCACCAGTGCTACAAAAGCCCGGATCTTTATTGGTGCGCATGCCATCTAGATTTTCCATTGCTGCAGCTGTTTAAATTCGGTTATAGAAGAGCGAAAAGCACTATTGACAATTTTATATGTAATTTGCAAAAGCTTCAGATCATCAGAGGAAATTTTCATCGTCCCACTACTTCCCCTCTCCTCGGAAGTCTGTCCCGGACCCGCCTATGAGCGTTGGTCAAAGCCACTGGAAAAGTTGTTAGCCTGCATATTTGTAGAACCAGTCTATGAAATGCATCTGACAGTTAAATTATTGCTGGATAAAGGTGGACGCGCTAAGTTATGCTTACTTTGCCGAAATTTACTTATTGTATCCGGCCCTGACCAGTGTAACTGGCAGTGTTTTGTCCCCAAAAAAGATCAAGCTCTGCAGTTGTTTTGTGATGTCCACTATGCATTTGGCTGTAACCCCTGACGTGAAAGCTCGCGTATGGATGTTTAGTATTCCGCCAGACAACAGCCAGAACACTGTGATTTGCAAGTTGTCTGTTTTTGATCGAGTGAGAATTGGTGCAACCCAAAATTTTCCGCTTGCTTTATGCGTGGAGAAAAATCTAGTAAGGCCTGATGCCCCAGAAAAGTTGCTTTTGACGCGCACGATTTTGCTGTGACCAAGCGAGACAGTGAAATTTGTTGAGCAGAAGGAGTTGCTTTTCATGACAACAACCAGTGGCCCCTGAAAATTAGTGAGTGGTACTCTCGAGCAAGTAAACAGTGACTTGAACGTTTTCTAAAGAGGTAACGCACATACGTCGAACGGGCGCTGAATATAGAATTATAAAGCCCATGATTGAATAGCCTGGCTAAATTGCGCCGGGAGTGTCGGAGTATCCTAGTCTCATCGGTGTAGCACACCGATTACACACACTGGTTACCCGGGCAGTCACCGTAACCTTAGTAAATAAAATCTTAGAATGCAACATATGTATTAAAATATGTCGATAATTTCTTCAGGTCGGCGACACCTCTGCGCGACACCTCGGACCTTGTGATACGGTATGGCGGAGTATGTTTGAGAAAAACTTCTCCGCCCTGTCCCTCACAATTGTGTCAAACGGCAAGGATTCGGAAAATCGCTGTATACAAGCGGTAAATTGTTTTTTTAAAAACTTCGAACTAAGAAGCAGCAATAAAATATCAGCTGAAAACATTCTTTCAAAAGTAACTTTTGCCGATGCCTTGGAATGAAAAATGAACCGAAGATGCTGGGATCGCTGATGGGATTTATTGTGTGTATCTCATGTTAGTGATGTTACTGAAATCGTCCCATATGCCGAATGAAGTTTTGTCAAACCTTTTGATGAACAAAAACTCACAAGTGGATGTATCTCAGAGCTATGAGGAACTAGAAAAGTTTTATGAGTTTTAACAAAATTTTGAAAACAGCGCAGCCATTGTTTTTTTATTCCAGATTCTGGGAAACTTCAGTTTTTGCAGCTGTAGGTGCAATAAATAAGTGTAAAGACTTTGCAGCACTAGATGCAATTTGAAGTGGTTAAATGGGTGTTTAAACCATTGGAAAAAAGAATTAACTACAGATGTAATTTGTAAGAAGAATAGTATTGTAGCAGAGAAAGAAGTAAATTAAAGGAACTAAAGAGAAATGTTTCGGTTCATAAAGTCGTATAAAGTCCAATCAAACACACAGTTGGGCAC